ACGCCTACCACAAGATATAATGAAATGGGAGCGGGTGGTACGCCTACCACAAGATATACTGAAATGGGAGCAGGTGGTATGCCTACCACAAGATATGAGAAATGGGATCGGGTTGCACGCCTGCAACAAGATGAAAGTGAAATTTGCCTTATTTCCCTTTGGTATTCTGTTTTATTTGCTACCCCCGGAGCATGTTTCCCCTTTCCCAACTTTGATTGCTTATTACCTGTTTACTTTTCCGCCATATAGTATATAACTGCACAGGTTTATCTGGAGTCTGGTCCTAGCCTCGTCACTACCTCGCCGGGGTTAGGCCAGACACTTACCAGCACATGGGGTCGGTTGTGCTGATACTACACTCTGTGCTCTTTTGCACAGATCCAGGTCTTGGACAACAGCAGTAGCGCGGGAGCCAGCTTTCAGTCCAGTGAGACACCGAGGTAGCCTTGCAAGCGTCCGCAGGCCCGGCGTCTCCTCTATCTTTATTTCAGTCTGTTATTTCATGTATTCGAGACAAACAATTTATATTTTTCTTTCAAACGGTTGTATTTAGTACTCTTAGAAGTTCGTAAGTAATGTGACATCAGTTCTTGGGTAGAGGCATATGTTGATTTTCGTATTATTATTTAGTTTCTTTAATTTAAGTCTTCCGTACATTTATTAAATTCCGTTGTTTTCATGTTATCACTGATAATTGTTAAAAGAAGTGATTTGTTAATGAAGTAAGCTGTTAAGGATTGACTTGCCTAACTCACATTAGTAGGTGCCATTACGACTCCCAAAGGTGGGAAATCCGGGTCGTGACACAAGCTAAGTCACGTCTATGTTCATTTCTTATAAACGAGGTAAGACTATATTGAGTTCAACTTTAAAGAGCAAAGGTGTCACTTATTTAAGACAATATTGATATATACTGTAGTTTAGTCTCTGTATATGAACTGATTTTTTTTCCCTCAATATATTGACCATGATTGAGGATTTTTATGTGGAAGTTTTTTTCCTTATTGAGTTAGCTATATAGAATTAATATTCATTTTCAAAACTCATATTATTATTTATTTATTTTGTTTTTATTCATTTAGATAAGATCCACGCATAAGCAAATACTATTGACTACTAGTAGTAAATAGTTACACAGCAGTAGTTGAGAGTTTATAATTTATTAATCATGCACTTGGTTGATGGGGTAATTTTCACAGATCTTATGTGTATTAAAGTATGAGTATCGTTTTAGGATAGAACAATTTAACTTATATACATCAATAATGAAAAAATAATTATATGGATTGTAGCTGATTTTCTGTTTTAAGCTTATTTTCCAAGTAACTAATTTCACTTCTTCTAATTATCCTTTGGTTGACCTCACAATAACAAATATAAAATTCTTAGTAAAAATCTTGTCCCCGTTTCTCAACATATTTAGGCAATTAATAAATGCTTATAATTTCTCAATAAAAAAATATGCAGTTTTTGGTATTCGCCTGCTCCGACTCCAGAGTGTGCCCATCCCACATACTTAACTTCCAATCAGGGGAGGCTTTTCTGGTTCGTAATATAGCCAACATGGTCCCTCCTTATGACCATGTAAATTATATTATCGTCTCGGTCAATTTTATATCAATATATGCCTGTGCTAATTAGTAGTCAAAAAATTTGACGGACGTTACTATTTATTTTCTTCTGCCTTGTGTGGAACAAGAAAATTACAACTTAAATTATATTCTTTGTAATATTTCCGAATATTATACGAGTACAGATTAAATATTCTGGAGCTGGGGCATCTATTGAATATGAAATTGTCCACTTCAAGGTTAGTCTTTTTAACACTTATGGCGTCGTTAATTCCGATATTATACGAGTACAGATAACACTTGCTTTCATTGTTTATACATAATCGATAATACTTGCTTTCGGTATTTGTACAAAATTAAATACATGACATGTTCTATTTATATAATGTTTTATCGTACAATCATAATTAAGCTAAAAAACAATTCTACTAATACTTTAAATATTTGTATAACAATGCTTCAATTAATAATACTATCATTCATATTAAGAAATAAAAATGAATATCAAATCACAAACCATAAAGATAAATTTTAACCTCCTATTTCTTTGATATCGAGTACTTGATTGGCTTTTGTTTAAGAAAGCTATTTTAATATTTACTGACACAGATAAACTTAAGTATTTTATCCCGTGCTTGATAGAAATAAAAAATATATTACATTACATTTGTTCATAATTTCATGCTTCACTAATTAGAGATTTCTTTCCACACTTATTTTAATTTAAAAACCTTTTAAATTGCCTGCATTTTTCTTTTTCTTCCTATCTATTTCTAGTTGTAAATAAAAATTAAACTTGCATTATAGGTGGAGAATATTTTGGTGATGGGGCACAGCTGCTGTGGAGGTATAAAAGGACTCATGTCTATCCCTGATGGTCCATAGACAGCTTGGTTCTTCCTTAGAAGAATTGTCCTAAATAGTCGCTCTGCTTAAATTAAAAATAATTAGCGATTATGTAATATATATATATATATATATATATATATATATATAATCGTATATAACCAATATATAATTTATATATACCTATAAAGAAAAGTAAAAAATGAATCATCCTGACTATTTGTGTAAATTCATTTCTCTTTTTTTGATTCCTGATAATGATTGAGAGTTAAACTGGACTTATTAACATATGCCACGTCTTAAACTTTTATTATGTTGGTCGCAGTGATCGAAGAATGGGTCAAAATCTCGATATCAAAGGCAAAGGTAAAGAGAGAACATGGCGACAAGGATTTCACTGAACAATGTACAATATTGGAGAAGGTAATTAAAGTAGTAAACTAATTCAACTAGCTATGCTATCTTTTAGTTCAATAATTGAAACTTTACAACTTCAGATACTTAAGAAAAGATATATATTAAGTTAAATATTTGTGTGACATTGAGCAGGAGGCAGTAAATGAATCACTAGCCAACTTACTGACATATCCATTTGTGAGGGAAGCTGTGATGAACAAAAGCCTTGCTCTGAAAGGTGGACACTACGATTTTGTGAATGGTTCTTTTGAGCTCTGGGATCTTGATGAGTTCAACATTAGCCATTCCGGTTCACTCTAGTTCTTGCAAAACTGACACTTTTCATGGAACCTACTGTCCACTATTGTTTCAAGTTTCTCTTCCATTTGTATTTTGATGTAATTGTATTATGGAACCACGTTTGTCACCAATCCTCCCAGACCCCATTTTCGGGAATGCACTAAATATGTTATTGTTGTTGTCGTTTGTTGTTGTTGTTGTTGTTGTTGTTGTTGTTTGTCACCAAAATAAAATTTTCTTGGCTCTTTAGGCCTTTTGGGCTTATTCTATGGTTTTTCTTGGACTGACACTCATTTCACAATTTTTACTTTGAGATTATTTTTGTCATGATTCGGAGTTTTCATCGTCGGGACCGTGATGACGCCTAACATTTCACTTGCTAGGCAAGCCAATATTAGAGATCATTAAGCCAATCCTTATACTTTTCAGTTATTAACAACAATTAAACCATAACAAGTTAAAAATAGTGCGAAAACACATAACAATCTTAATATTTATACACAACTACCCTGAATCTGGAATCACAATCCACGAACATCTAAGATTTAACTATAAGTAATTTGTCTGAAGGAAATACAATTGTTTTCGATGCAAAAGAAACAGTAAAGAGAATGTATAGAAAGGGACGCCAGGGCCTGCGAACGCCAACAGGACTACCTTGGGTCTCCAATCAGATGACGTTAGCAGCTAACTCAGGATCAACTCGGTCCAGTACCAAAATCTGCACAGAAAGTATAGAGTGCAGTATTAGTACAACCGACCCTATGTACTAGTAAGTGTCGAGACTAACCTTGGTGAAGTAGTGACGAGGCTAAGATAAGACACCAGCAAATAAATCTGTGCAGTATAACAATATATATACCAATAACAGTTATAAAAGAAACAAGACACGTGATATTGGGAAGGGGACATGCTGAGGGGATCACAAGATAAAGGATCACAATAGAATTAAGGACTTTGATCAACCGATATAATTAGAACAGATAAGGACAAGTAACCATAGCAAAAGAAAGTACACGACATCACCCTTCGTGCTTTTACTCTCAACCTCACCATATGAATCAAATAAAAATGGCATGACATCACCCTTCATGCATTAACTCTCTCATAACATGGCACAACATCACCCTTTGTGCTTAACACTCACAACAAGGCACAACATCACCCTTTATGCATTAACATTCACAAAATATGGCGCGGCATCACCCTTTGTGCATAAACACTCTCACTCACCAAAACTAGGAACAATGACAACATGGAGATAAAAATATCAAGAAAAAGTCTTGCTTCAATATTTGGTTTCACAATATCAACCTCAACTTTGAATCTATACTCAATCAATACCAAAATCCGTAAATATGATAAGAATGATCAACATAACAATAAACTAGTCTAAGCATGAGTAATATGAACACAAAAAGCTACAATTTCATGAATAAGACTCACTCGCTATGACTCGACAATAATGCATGGGTACTCGTCACCTCACTTATACGTTATACTCAACATTCAAACACGTAGCAAAGAGGCAAATAAGATCTAATCCCTCAAGCCAAGGTTAACCACGACACTAACCTCACTCCTATGGCCAAACTCAAAGCTCAACCACAGTTTTTCCCCTCAAACAAGCCTCTAGACCAATAGAATCTAATAAATTACCAACTAAACGATTCAATTTAAGCCTTAGGAACTACCCACGATTGCAAAGGATTCAAATTAAGCCATTTTGAAAAAGTCAAAACAAGGTCAACACTTGGGCCCGCTTGGTCCAAACCTGAAATTCGGACCAAAATTTGATTACCCATTCACCCCCGCGCCCAGATATATAATTGATTTTGGTCAATTTGAAATGCGAGAAAGGTATCGTAAATGCGAACCTGTCACATTTATGCTGCCTTCGCACATGCGAACATATTGTTCGCAAATGCGAACATATTGTTCGCAAATGCGATACTGGAGGATCACAAATTCGACCTCCTTCTTCGCAAATGCGAATATGCTTTCCCCCAGACCAACTTCGCAAATGCGGGTTTTCTTCGCAAATGCGAGGCAGATCTCACAAATGTAAGACCTGCAGATCTGATGCGCACCAACTATGATTTCTACGTTTATTTCACTCTGTAGCCCATCCGAAACTCACCTGAGCCCTTGAGGCTCCAAACCAAACATGCACACAAGTCTTAAAACATCATACGAACTTGCTCTTGTGATCAAATCACCAAATAACACCTAGAACTACCAATTTAGCACCAAATCAAATGAATTTTTCCTGAAAATTTTGAAACTTCTAATTTCTCAACCGGACGTCCGAATCACGTCAGACCAATTCCGTTTCTCACAAAATTTCACAAACAAGTCATAAATATTATATTAGACCGGTATCGGATTCCGAAATCAAAATATGGACCTAGTATCAACAAGGCCAAACATCAATCAATTCATAAAAACCATTAGATTTTCAGACTTTTAATTTTCAATAAAAATTCATAACTCAAGCTCGGGACCTCCAAATTTGATTCCGGGAATAATCCTTACCCCGTATATTAATACGGATCCATCGGGACAATCAAAACACGAATGCGGGTCTGTTTAATCAAAACATTGACCGAAATCAACTAAAATTAACTTTTAAGCCAAAAATTCTTGTTTTTATCAGTTTTTAGCATATAAGCCTTCCGGGTCAATATCCGGACTCCGCACATAAATTGAGAAGGGTAGAATGAGTTTCTAAAGGCTTCGAAACATAGAGTTTGGTTCTAAATCACAAGATGACCTATCGAGTCATCACAATTTTTGTATATATATACATAATCAGAACAATATTTAATCGGTTTAATTAGGTTTTCCTATTTATAAAAGTAGCTAATGTTTCTTATAATATATATACAAATTCTTTTAAAAACTATAATCTATATACAACTTGAGTATAACTTTTTATTGTTCATAATTTGGACAAATGCTATGTAACAACCCGACCGGTCGTTTTGAGCTTTTGCACTGCGCTCGCTAGTTCTCGGGCATAACTAGCCCCTTGTGATGTATTATGACTTATGTAAATCATCGGTTTTGGTTTTCAATGTAATCAGAATAAATTTAGAAGAACAGTTCTCAAAGTGAAGCTTAAATATTTGAAAGGTTTGACCAAGTTTTGACTTGTTAGCATATGATCTCGGATTGGAATTTTTTATGATTTGTTTAGCTTCTTTAGGTGATTTGAGACTTAGGAGCATGATCAGAATGTATTTTGGAGGTCTGTTGAAGGTTTAGGCTTGAATTGGCGAAATTGGAATTTTGGCATTTTCTGGTTGGTAGGTGAGACTTTGATATAGGGGTCGGAACGGAATTCCAAAAGTTGGAGTAGGTACGTTGTGTCATTTGTGATGTGCGTGCAAAATTTCAAGTCATTCGGACGAGGTTTGGTAGACTTTTTGATCGAAAGCAGAATTTGGAAGTTCCTGGAATTCATAGACTTGAATCCGATGTGATTTTGGTGTTTTGATGTTGTTTTGAGCATCACGAAGGTTGGAACAAGTTTGAATGAGGTTATGGGATATGTTGGCATGTTTGGTTTAGGTCCCGAGGGTCTCGAGTGTGTCTCAGGTGGTTAAACGGATCATTTCATGTTGATGGAAATTGCAGAGATACTGTTGTTGGTGTTGCAAGTTTTTGACCTTCGCATTTGCGATGCATGTCCCGCATTCGCGAAGGGTTAAGGTGTGAGACAGTGGAGTGTCGCGCCCCATTTTTTCCATCCTTGCGGAGGGAGGTCCGGGTTTCAACATTCATGGGGGTGCAATGACTCATTTCCTTTTGGGAATTGGGTATTTGAAGAGTCTCTAGCTAACAGATTATGGTGCGTTAGGGCACCTAGAGCAATTAACTCTTGGGTTGGTTTGCATTACCAGAGATTAGGGTAAGGGCTCGAAATAACCTCGAGGAGAAGGTGTTAGGCACCCCTCGGTCCAAAACTGTAGGTCCCGACCGAACTTATATTTACAAATTAGTCCATATAAACAAGTAAGTTGTAAAGCTTATTGAACAAGTCAAGTAATGAAGTAAAGGTTTGAACAAATTATAAAAACGAAGTTTTAAATAAGGAGAGGATTTGGGGTAAGAAGGGGTCCTAGGTTGTTTATCCAATAGGATCACCTCACGCAATGTCCGGTAAACACTCCTCAATGAGGGGCTACACGTGACATTAACGCGTAGTCATCATATCCCATGTCTACCCTTCCCATCCTCTTATTGGTCATGCAAAGCGAGTATTTAATCATTGATTCCTATTGCGTGTTGCTACCCGTCCCTACTTAATAGTCTCAGAGGGAGTTGGGACCTCCACCTATAGGTAGTTCTAGATGTAACCCTAAGGTTTTAAAGGCAAAACTCTAAGGCGACAGTCAAAAAGCATCTAAGACTTTCATATAATGAGAGCAAGTAAAAGGCTCATAGTTTCCTCCGCAAACAAGCAAGCATGCAACACGACTCAACCACAAGTAAGGTCTTTAGTAATCAAAGTCCTAAAGCAGGATTTCTAAGTGATTATGTAGAAATAAACCACTTTCATATACAGAAGTAATAACATTATTAGCTGCCTAGGACCTCCTTTTTAAAAGCTTATTAGAATTCAGAGACGTGGAGTGACAGAAACAGCTTCAGAGAAATACTAGTTTTGAAAATGCCTTAAGGCTTGCATATATGTAAAACTGTGTCTATGTTAATGGAAAAACAGACAAATTTTCGAAATAGAACCTTTCAACACCTATAGGCATAATATCTAACGGGATTAAAGAAATTATGAAAGGACTAGTTTTAGAGAGTTATCACTTGACAAGGCTAGTTTTAAGAAGTAAACTAGGTGAGATAAAATCGACTCATTAGGCTAATTAGATTGTCAGACATAATTACGAGTAGAAGTCCCTATAGGCATGGTATCTAGGCGTGTTACTGGTTTTAGGCAATTTGCAGTAACTTATTGAATCAGAATTATGTCCTATTGGCATGGTATTGAATTGGTTTAAAAC